TCAAATTCATTTGCTTCTGTTGTTTGATTTTAAAATGGATGAAAAGTAGTTATTATTGTTTTTACGGCCCGTTCTTTTTTTGTTATAAGATAGTGAGCGAAAGGCCTATTCGGTTGTTTATATGATTTGAATCTTTTGGTAAACAATAATTGATTTCAATACCAATTTGTTAATATGATATGATTTTTTTTACGTAGATGAGCTCATCAATTTTCATTTGCTATATATTTTAGTGCGAAAGAATTATTGAGTATTTTCTCGTTTTTGATATACTATATTACCATTTTTAATATTAGTTTATTTCCTAATCAATCCTTTTTATGTTGTTTTTTTTTTAATATTTCTACAATTTTTGAATGTTTTTGATACAAGTTTTTCTGGAAAACTGTACCTATATTATTTATTTCAAAGACATATTAGCTAATAAATTTAAGTTCTTTCGGGTTTTTGTGCGTACTAGGTATAATAAATATGTATATATCTTGCTATTGTTGTATTTGTCGGAAATTTTATTAAAAATATAACGTAACCAGTGGATGAGGCTGTTCCTACTTTAATATTTTCTAATTTATATATGTCGATAATAAATTGGTTTATTTCTTCGGGTGTTACAAATTTGGTTTGCCACGAGATTTAGCTTTACTGAGACTAATAATCAAAATGTGTCCTAAATATTCTGTGGTTGCGGTAATGAATTTATACGTATTTGTCAATTTGAATCCGTAAGTTGTGTTGTTTTAGTCTGCCTAAAATTGTCATCCATATGTTTCTGTGTTTCTGTACTTAATATAAGTATGTCATCCAAGTACACATATTTTATTAATGTATTCTCGTAGGATGGAATTCGTTAGCCCCTAAAATATGGTTGGAACATTTTTTAATTTAAAGTGCGAATAAATATACTCTCAATAATATCGTTTAATAAATCGGGACTATCTGGCAGGGATTGGTTAGCATTTCGTACTGCAATTCGGAGGCCCAGGGTTTGAGTGCAAGTGTATGTAACATCCAAAAATTAAAGAAACTTAATTTAAAAAAAAAAAAACTAAATTCATTTTTCTAATTGTGGTCGCCCATCAGCAGGAAATGTTTGCCTAAAATTTGAATTTTTGACATGAAATAAAAAAGACCCTAAAAAAAACATCAGTCTCTTAGACAGGGGTCAAAGTATAGTAGTGAAAATGGAGAATCCGGAGATGGTGAACTCGAAACTCCAACTGGCGAAGGATGCCAATGGACTCTCGTGACATTGTTTCAAATTTTCATTTACCGTTGCGCCCTATTACTCTTTTTACCTAATCTTGGATAGGTACCGAGAGCTGAAGAAGGAAGCAAGACGCATCTGCAGACAAAAAAAGAAAGAGACCGAGATACGTGAGTATGCAGAGCTTGAGAAACTGGCCGACAAGAGTAATGCTTCTTTGGGAAGATACGACGACCTACGGCAGGTTTCAAGACCAGAGCAGAGCTTTGTGGGACACAATGAGTTGATCTAACCACCGATGCCCAGAGTATATTGAGTTTATGGAAGGGACAGTTCTCCAGAACGCGGAGTAGCAGTACCCACCATGGCGTTAAAGTCACCAAGCACGATTTCACGTCGTGTCGGGGCCAGCGCTCTTGCTTTGATGCGGTTTGTGGTGAGACGCTCATCCACCGGGGTGAATGTCAGTACTCGATGACGGAGTCTCTCTCCCCACACCAAATTTGTGCACCTTTATATTGGCCGGACATTTACTACATCACAAGAAATTCCTCTCTTTCGACCTTGTCCCGTCCATCACATTTTTTGAATGGCGGTGATGTCAGCCTTTATTCTTACGAGGACATCAACCAGTGCAGCGGGCAGCAGCACCTTCCCAATTAAGGGACCGGACATTTCAGGTATGTGTCCTCAAATCGTGATCCTTAATTCTTTTGCGGGGATCGTATCCATAAAGGCATCTCATCCGAGGCGTTGATAAATTTTTCATTGGAGCTGGTTTCTACGTAGCGGGTCCCTAACCCAGCGCACAAACTCGCTAGGCGAGTAAGTTTAAAGTTTTTTCACATTTATATAGAGAGCCGCTTGCTTCAAGATCGACGCCCGCTCGCAGTCACGCCTCTGGTGAACAGACGTTGCAATTAGACTTCAGCAACCCTTAAATCGAATAAGTCGGAGTGGCCCCACTGAAGCTTCCTCTCTCATTAGCCGTGACCCGAGGTCACGGGTTGGTTACCGCATCTTGCACAAGGGTAGATTACGTTTCCGGATTGCGCGACGTGGACGCAAGAGAAGGAATTGAGTATAGCCTCGCAACTGTAACAGCATACCCAGAAGCTTGACTTCACCCCATGACACTACGACGATGAAATTTATATACAGCTGTTGGTAGCTAATTAGAAACAATGCCTATTTTAAATTGAATGATCTTTTTCTAATATACAAACCTTATAGTCATAGCAAATTATGAAAAATTCATTCTTAGATTTTTTTTTTACAAAAACCATGAATTGAGTGCGACACCTAATTATGAACGAAAATATATTGTCAAAAAAGAAAAATTATGATTTTAAGATAATTGTTTAGTTTAAGTTACTATTTAGTTGCATAACTTTTCTGTTTCAACACTGCCTCACACCGATTTCGCATGGATGTCATAAGATTGCGCCAGCGGGACACTGATACTACTTGCCATACCGTTCTTACTTCCTCAAAGTGGATATCCAATTTTAGGATATTTTTAACAACTATTTTACCGTCACTCCAGAGAGTTCATGTTATCGTTATCAAGTTGAAGTTTTCATATAACAGGCATATTCTCTTCAGCATAAGGCAGTATGATATTTTTCAGTATGTCGACATATTGCTCCTGATTTAGAATTCCATCTATCCATTGAGTGGATCAACGTTATTCCAGGAAAAACATCCCCATACCATGATTGATTCTCCACTATGCTTCACTAAGCGTGCTGCTTTTACATGAAGCTCAGATTCGACCAAGCGCCGTGCAATTATTTTCTTAAACATTTGAACAGTGAATTCATTCTGAACTTCACGATGAACGTCCGAGGAACTCTTTTTTGGGCCTTTTCGCGAGATAAGTGATATCCTGTGGTCTTTTTTTGCTAAAGTTTTTCGGAACCTTTTTTGCGTGTGACATTTGTAACAGTTTTAACATTCTGCATATGCTAAAACCCATCCTTTTTTAGCATTTGACTTGCACTGCCATTTGGCTGTATGACTTTCCAGCTCTACGAAGATGACAAATAGAATGTAGCTATATAGCGGCTGTGTTTTCCCATCACAAATCTTGAGATAGCAATTTTAATTGATTTTAAATAATACATTTGAGAAAAATACTAACCAAAAATTAGTAATATTAACACCAAAACAACACAACGTTATGAACAATCGTTTCTAATGTAAGTAATGCATGCATAAAGTACATATATATATATATATATATATACAAATATTATATATAAGGTGGCACACGATCAGCGTTGCTTTTAATTAAAAGGTTGAAAATTATAACTAAAGAAACACTGATCGTGTGCCACCGTATTTATTTGTCTCCAAATCTTTGTTATTGTCTATTGTCGGTAATTTTAAAAGATTTGTATATTTTAATTGCAATAGAAGTGTAGTAATAACGTTTTATTTTTGTTTATATTTTTCACGTACATTTTTATTTTACCAATATTAAACCCAAAGTCACTGTCTATATATTGTGTATATTCATATGCGTATATGTATCCAATTATTATTAAATATTTCAGACAATGGAGTTTGCAGCTGAATTAATGCATGAAATATTAGAGAGTATTGATGCAGTTTGTATAAGTGGGGGTTTTGGAGCACTTTTCGTTGATTTCAACGTGAGCGATATTTGAGCAATTGAGCATATTTTTGTGTTTTGCATATTTTTGATGAGTGACGGTATCTTAAAGGAGGGGGTATGTAGGGTTTTATTTTAATTTTTTTTAACCGATCATAATATCGCTTGGTAGTTCAGATATGTCGAATGTAGGGTTATTAATCCTGTTTCGATTGCGATTTGGTCCACTGTTTTCAATATTTCTTGATTTCGCTTACTAATTGAGATTTCTGTTCCATTTTTATTACTTATTCCGACACTGCAACTAGATCGCGAGAGAACATTTCACCTTTGGAGTGGTTGAGAGTATTGTGTTCAGACACTTCGACTTTGATTATGGTGTAAAGGCTGATAATGTTATTAGTTTACTTGTTAACATGAATTTTTTTGTTTTAACTAAAATACTGCCGTTTCTTAACCTTTTATACGTTTCGACTTCACCCGTACTTTTACGAGAAATGGGAATACTCTTGAGAAAGTTTCATCACTTTCAATTCGACTAATTACCAAATATTTAGCACTCTTGGATTTACTTGTTAATAGTTTTAGATTTTTGTTTTTTTTTTTTTGTTCTGCATCTTTGCCTCGATCGGAAGGGTCAGACATTTGGAGGTTATGATAATTTCCACAAAGTAAACCAATAAACAAGTCCGTGTGGTATTCAAACGTAAACTGTGTATATGTAGATAATCTTGTTTCGTCCCAAATGGCTAGAAGATTTCTTTACAAATTTTGATGAAAGTACTTGTTTAATGGAAGTATTCGCAACATCAAAAGCACCAACTTCAGACATAGCGGCATATAAATACAAATGATTTTGGAATATGTGGTAGATGGGTTCTAAGTAAGACCTTAAATGCGACAATCCTACGAAGACCGACGGGAAAGTTGGCTTATTGTCTCTCTTCGTTAATACTTTATATTGTGTAAGAATACCGTTAAAGGAACAATCTTAACATATATATTCCAAAAGAATAATCACGCTTAAAACTAAAAAATTAGCTGTAAACATATACGTATGTACTTATATACGTTACCTTTATATGTACGTTCCATTATGTTAGTGGATTTATTTAAATATGTTTTTTCTTTCTTTTTCTTATCTTTACTAATTTAAACAATTTATTTTTTATTTCAAAGGTCACGGCGGTGTCAATCAGCTGGGAGGTGTTTTTGTTAATGGTCGCCCCCTTCCTGATGTTGTAAGACAACGTATTGTTGAGTTAGCGCATAATGGTGTTCGACCATGTGACATATCACGTCAACTACGCGTCAGTCATGGCTGTGTATCTAAGATATTGTCAAGGTGAGATTTCAAACATTTATATTTATACATACCATATATATAGATATAATAATATATTTACATTTAAATATAATATTATTAGTAACACTGGCAATGTACTCGTACATACATACCTATAATGGTAATGTACATGCACAATCATACATATAAATACAATAAATAAAATCTTTGCAGGAGTTTTCTCAAAAGCACGGGTAGTTCAAAATGAATTAAGTACAGTTACACAAACACCTTAAAAATAACAAATGATTTAAAAATTTTGGAATCAAGACGTACACCGTTTTAATGTAAATATATTTGATTGCATCTAAGCTGTGTTACCAAGGAAGCTTAGCTGCCGGGAATTATATTATTTTAACTAATAGAATTTCTTCTATTTTTAGTGAATTAGTAGTTCGCATGTAGAGCACGACAAAATTTATGCCAACCATGTAAAGTAGTAGAAAAATTAGCGAAATCAGGATATTAGAAATGTATATGGAATGATAATGATAATAAGCACAAATTAACCCTAAAATTATATCTCCAGAGTCATGAAATTGATGTTATCGTCAGTTCCGAAACACATCTCACCAATATAATATTTATTTCGTGTGTTTAAGATGTATTGTACTAATCACCCAGATAGGAAAGTTCATGAATGTACTTATGAGAAGCCATTTAAAGCATAGCTTTCTTAGCTCCTACGCTACCTTACCTTAACTGCGATATATTGCCGGCCACGCTTCGTAATAACATGGAAGCAATTGAGCGGCCGCGGTAGCCGAGTGGTTATCATTGCGTTGGGCCATTCGGTAGACTCGTGCTCAAATCCTGATATCGTACTAACATCCAAGTGTTATAGAAAATTGATTTAGAACATAAATTAAGTTAAATTTCTTAATTGCGTTCGCCCATCGGCAGGGATCGTCAGCCCCCCTAGTGTGTTCAGCCGTTCGGAGGCGGCGTAGTATAAACTGTAGGTCCCTCCATTTGTTGGAAAAACATCAAGACGCAAGATCAAACATTGAATAAAAAGTGCACAAGTGTTTAACCCTAGAAAAGACGCGCTCAGCGGAGTGGCATGGAATGTCGCGTGAGCATTTTGTTATTATTAAGTTAACTTTTCAAGTAACTTTTATCGAATGTGCTGAATGTAAGAAGTGGTTCAACAACACAAATCTTACAAATTTTTACGACTAAAAAATTGTGTGAGCAAAATGTTAAAAAAATATAAGTAAGTTTTGGTATAGTAAAATATAGAACGAAATGAGTTTAACTTTCTTCATCAATTCATACTACATATATCATATACGTACATATATTGCGCTATTGCGCTAGTAGATTTGAATAAATGTACAATATATAAATTTAATTGGTTTACTTATTATACCTTAAAATTATGTTAAATTTTGATATGCTTACGGCTTACTTTTAAGGTATTATGAAACTGGAAGCTTTAAAGCAGGAGTTATAGGAGGCTCCAAACCGAAGGTTGCTACTCCACCTGTAGTTGATGCGATAGCAAATTACAAGCGTGAGAATCCGACAATGTTTGCATGGGAAATACGTGATAGACTATTAGCGGAAGGAATATGTTCCCAGGATAATGTACCCAGCGTATCTTCAATTAACAGGTAAAATTTAATATATTGTATTGCCAACAAATTAATTACTCATAGGTTATATAAGAAACATTTGTTCAGGAAAATTTTAAATTGTGCTGCTATTGAACGATCACATTCCCATGTTTTTAATATTTTTTGTAACTTTCTTAGTTTAACGTTGTAAACTTTTTAGTTTATCCTACAATATTTTCCATAGAAGATACTGGTATAACTCGGGGATATTCCAACAGATAAAAATACTATTTCAACTTAGAATTAAATTACCATTTTGTTTTCTCAAAAGGATAAAAGAAATTAATTAAAAGCTGCTTATAAATATAAATATAAACACTTTTTTAACGTAATTGGTTTATTTACCTTATCTTTAAGCGGAAGTTGCTGCAAGTGTGTACACGGTTATGAAAATACAAAATTCTCCTTGCCTTTGAACAGACCTCGTACAAACACTTTACAGATTTCGATAAAACTCGAAATAAATGTTTCACCATCCGTCACGATTCTCGACCCACGAAAAAATCAAATATTTTCGGAAACTAAGAAAAAAAAATACCGTTTGATAGATCAAATCGTTTGTGGTTTTTTGGAGTGAAAGTAACACCTTATTAAATAGTGACAAGTCCTCTATAAAAAATTATTAATAGCTTATAGCAATTTGTATCTATAGGTATTTGGGACGCTGTGTGTCCAATTTTCAAAATTCAAAATTGTGGGTCCAATATGGCGGTAAAAAATTTAAAAAGCTATTGGATTTTTGTAAAACTTGGTATCCCGGGGTTTTTAGGGTCGCTGATTATGAATCTGATCACAGATTTTTGAAGTTCCAAATGGCGGATCAAATATGACGGTCACAATATTTTCAGAATGAAAAATATTACATAAAATTTGGTATCTGGAGAGTTTCGGTTTCGCTGATTATTATCAGATTTTCAAAATTCAAAATGGTAAATCTGATAAGCTGGAACATCAGAAATAATTTAAAAATTTTCGCAGATATGCTCTTTGTATATTGGACATTTTTTAATGACAAACAAGGCTTTGTTTTAATAAACATTGAGATTTCAGCGATGAGCATGGCGAACGTTTCCAACATGACATCGCAACAAATAAAACTTGATACAAGGCAAAGGATATTAAACATGTACAGGTATGCTTGGCGAGTATAGCTGGTCACTTTGTCGTGATACAAACAGTGACTTCCTTAACCGTAAAAATAAACGTCCAAAACTTAAGCGAACTTAATATAAAAGTTCTTCCGAAATTCTGTTAAATAAATTTAAGTCTAGTTTATAAGTAATAATATTGTCAGTTTAACAAGCTCTGAAAATAATTGTAAATTTGGTCAAAAAATCAATCAAATAATTAAATGTTCTGTTTTTCAATTCAGTTTTCTAATTTTTGATTCTTATTAGGTATTCCATTTTTTATTTTGACAATCTGGTATCAGATTCGTAATCAGCGACTTCATAAACGTCCAGATGCCAAATTTCATAAAATTTAGCAATGTTTGTAAAATACTAATTTCTATAAATTATTAATAATTTTTAAAAGAGATCTTGTCAATTTTTAATTTAGGCGTGTTTTTTTCGCCCCTAAAAACCATAAACGACTTTATCTAACGATCTTGATCTTGCAAAACACCCAAACACATCTATTTTTCTGTCCTAGCTTCCGAAAATGTTTGATTTTTTCGTGGCTTCGACAATAAAGGTCATTTATTGTGGACGATTATTAATAATGTCTAATTTTTACAAGTCCGTTTACCTATTATCGAATATATGTATGTATGTAACGAAAATAGTTCAAATAGGATGAATTTCATATCATTCTGAAGTTATACGTAGCTACAGAAATTTATGAGCCTTCCGTACCCGAACTTCATCTTCTTAATATGTTTTCATAAAATTTATGTGAATACAAACATATTTTCGGAAACGGAAACACAATGCTGCTACATGTATGTATGAATCAACATAACATTGTTATACTACTAACATCCGCTTTTCTAAGAGACGTAATAAATGAAGTAGTTAGGTTAATTCAATGGGCGACATGTAGGAAAACGCATTAATAAAAACATCGCTGCTGTCTCTAGCGTTAATAATTGGCTGAAAGTGACACGCGACCACCACAATGTTCTTCCTTCCGTAACTAGACTAACATTTTTGAAAAATGCTATAACATGCAATGAACTTCAAATAATTGTCTTATAACCTAAAAAATACTTATGTGAAATTGTTCTCTTGGCAGAAATGAGACCACAATGAAGTTTTAACACTGTCCATTCATATGTATTAATTTATATATACATAAATATAAATTTATATATATATGCAAATACATATTATATATATGATATACTTATTAAAAAATAGGTTACCTATCGATTTGTATGAATAACTACATACATACATACTTGTTTATTACAATTTGATTCCCTGTTATAACGAAGAGTGTCATAATATTACGGAGCAATTAAAAAAGATTGACTTCTGACAAGTGCATATTCATATATGTACGAGTATATATTTAAATATTATAATCTTAATTGACGTATCAGCTATAACAAAGGTGCCATACAATTCATATTAAATGGGCAATATGTAACAGGAGTATGAAAGTACACTTTTCATTTTACACACATACATAATTCTTTTTTAATGTATGTATGTATGTGCATATGAAACTTATCATATTGAAATGTCTTCTTCCCCTTACTCATATACTTTAGAGTAAGTGTGAGCGTATGCAACCACATGCGGCACGTGCATACATTCTAAATCAATTCGCTTTGCATTAATTCGGGCAGCTATTTTCACATCCTGCAACATTTTTACTTCATCTTCTATGTAAAGTATATGCATTCTATGTGAACTGATGACATTAAGTGCGTGTTTTACTGTCAACGTAAATATAAGGGTGCGTAACTTAATACATAAAATAACTAAAACGAATAGTATCTAAAAATTGTTTCTTCTATGCAGACTTTTTATAATCGGCTCAACTGTGTGGATATGGTATGCGAATATATTGGGAGAAAAAAATTTATAGCAAGCGAGTTCAAATCAACATTAAAAAACATATTTTGACAATTTTGTTTCAGTTTTCAACATTTAGTTAGGAATTTAGTACTAACCGATACAACAATGGATCTCTTTAAAGAGAATCTGAGGCGATCCGCAGACAAAACTGGCTATAAAAGAAACGCGCTTCTTCAGGAATGCGAAAATTTTTTTGTTTCTTTGAGAAAAAAATTAAGCGCCTACGCTTTTTCGGGTCATTATTCTGCTGATTTTTTTTTTTTGGATTTATAGTTTGTTTTATGGAACTATTTTACAAAGTGGATGCGGCCCAACTGAGTATTGATTTTCCTTCATTTTTTATTTTTACTTGAAATCAGTCATTTGTTTAAAGTATGTAGATTTTTCTGTATTTGGAAAATGGGTAATTGCTACACTTGTACTACATATCATAAGCGAATTGGTTAAAGAGAGCAACTTCAAAACAGTTAGGAATAATATCTATTATTTATAGAAATTGGTACTAACTTTGTTGTATCGAATGGTGACATGTATTATCTCGAATAAAAAAAGTCCTGTAATTGTGGTAGGACCATGATCACATTAGCTAAAATTGTCTCCGCGCCTCATTCTGAAATAACTATAATATGTATATAAGCACACATGCACGTAAAAATTATCACGGTTAATATAAATTTATAAATCTCCTAAGGCTTATATCAATCTCATATTAAAAAAACTGATCTTAATGCTCGTGAAAGAAGTGAAAATCTGTTTAAATAATAAAATAAATAGAAGTAGTAATTTAATAGTGAAGAAACCTTGACTAATATCGAACTATTTTGAAACTGTTATGCAACACCAACCTTTTTTATATTTTTTTAATAGCATTGTGGGTGCTTGCTTATTATTGCTTACTAGCTGGACTCTGCAACGCTACGCTGTCGCACATACTCATTGAATGTACAAAACACAATACAACATTTTTGGTTTTACCATTGACATTGGTGCATTTCCAGGAGAGAGGAATAGTTCGACTTTTGACTTTTCTCACAGAACAAAGTAGTTGTCCTGATCATCTCAGAAAAAATTCACCTATTCACACAGTTTAAAATAAATGGAACCGTAAAAAGTTCCTGTAATAATCCTTGGAGAAAATAAGAGTCTTCCTGTTAATCTGAGCAAAATACCCCCCATGTAACGAATCTCATAAGTTTCTGGTCCACTTCACGGAAAAAACGAAGAGTATTCTTGCTAATCTGAGCAAAGAGCCACCTATTTACCAATTTTCAAGTAAATCATAGATGAGCTTTTTTGATTAGGCCAGCCTCTGGTAAACTTTCCGAATATGTGGCCTTTTGTTTAGATTAACAGGGAGACTACTGACCTTTGAATCGAATCTCAAGTAAACCAAGCCAAAAATAAACTTTTCGCATGGGTCAGTCCCTGGTCTCCTCTTAGTATCAGAAAAATGCTACTTATGTATCTAATTTCAAGTAAACCGAACCATAAAAAAGACGTTTTCGAATAGATCAGTAACTTTCCATAGAAAAGCTAATCTCCTATTAATCTATTCAAAATGCCACCTACATACAGAATTTGAAGTAAATCGAGCCAAACGGTTAGTAGCTTCTGGAGAGCACTCGTAACAAACGAACATAAAGGTGTTCTAAGAATAGGTAGTCACCGGTTCACTTTCCAAAATGTTTTTGTTTGGAAAAACCTTTCCAGGAATCATAGAAAAAATCTGACAAAATTTCAAATCAGTTGGCCTGTAAATTTTGGAGAAGACCCATAACAAACGAACGTAACACCTTTTTTCGAATAGGACAGTCGCGTGTTCACTTCTCAAATTTTTTTCTTGTAAACCACCCCTAGAACCATAGAAACAATCTGACAGAATTCAAAGTAAATGAATTTATTTATTTATAAATTGTTGTTGATATTACAACGTTTTACATAGAATTCCGGCAGACGATGCTGCAGTCATGC